AGAGCGGGTTTGCTTAGCACTTGTCAACCCATCCTGAAGTTGGGGGGGCGGTGGGGTGGGCACGAAAGGGCCTAGCGCAGTGAGTCCTGGAAAGTTCGATGTCAGAGATGCATACATGAGCGCAGTGAGAACACTAGAATGGTCCCCCCCAAAAAACTTGTGAGCAGCCCGAGTCCTCCCTGCACTAGAACCCACGGGCACGCTTATATTTAACATATTAACGCAAGTGAGCAACATTTCATCCATCGAGGGGGTAGTGAGGGAGTTGGTGCTGGGAAAGAAGGGAGGGCAGGGTCTGGGGTCCCCGTGGGTCCTCCGGGCCATGAGTGAGGGAGTGTTCAGGTCTCCGGCGGGGCTCACACGCGTGTGCTAGGGGAGTCACGTGGGCTTCACGCTAACGGCCGTGCTGACCATTGGGAATGAGGTGCTTGTCAGCCCCGAGGCTGTTCTTCAAACAGTCTGTCTCTTTGGCTTGGGTGGCCTCTTCCTCTTCCTCTTCCTCTTCCTCCTCATCTTCCTCTTCCTCTTCCTCCTCATCTTCATCATCACTCCTCACATCCTGGATGCTCTGGACAGAGGATAGAATTGGGTGAGTGACAACCCTTCGGGAAGAGTCTTGAGTGACTATGCAAACATTTAGCGGTGTGGATCCCTTTAGGAAAAAAGGGAGAGAGGCAGCAGGTGGCACAGTGGTTAAGGTGCCGGACTCCCACATGTCCAACCACGGTTCGAGTCCTGGGCCTGACAGCTTGCTTTCTCACTTTCTCTCGCTCTCTCTGCTCGAATGAAAAATAATACTAATCATAATGACAAATAAAACAAAATAAATAATTATTTTTAAAAAAAACGAAACATTCACCAAGATAGACTAGACCATGTGTCATAAAACAAACCTCAGCAAACTCAGGGAAATGAAATGATGCAAAGAATACATTTGGGTCATAATGGGGCTCAGCTAGAAATCAAGACTGAAAGATAACAGGGACATCTCAAAACACTTAGAAATGGAGCACCCTTCTAAAAATGAATCATGGGTCCAATAGTAGTCCTAAATGTTGTTACAAACTGTTTTATAATAAATGAAAATAAAAATACAACGAATGCAGCCAGCCCTGTGACTTACTGGTTGAAAGAATCAAATCTCGGGACCAGCTGTTAGCGTAATGGCTATGTCGCTGGACTCCCACGTAGTCGACTGCAGTTCGCTTCCCGGACCCGGTGGCTTAAAACTCACGCCGGGCGCATGTGCGTGTGTGCCCAAGATCCCGAGAGGAGAATGGAGGAGAAGGGATTGCGGCGTGGCCATCCCATCTGGAGGGTGATTTCTCGCTTTCTGTCTCTCTGTCTCTCTCTGTCTGCCTGGCGAGCGCACATGCCCTATGGCAAAAACCTCTCAAAAAAAAAAAAAAAAGATTAACCATTCCCATTGTCACCACCTTAAAAAAAAAAAAGAGTCAATCCCACATGGCTGCCCACATGGTTCGAATCCCAGCCTTGCCCTGGTGGCTTGGAAAACACATCAGGCACATGTGAGTACATTCCCAGAGTCCTAATGGGATGGAGAATGGAGAAAGGATTACAGCGTGACCATGCGGGGGTGCTTTCTCTCTCACTCCCTCTCTCTCTGATGAATGTGTGTGACCTCTGGTAAATAATAATAATAAAACACAGCAAATGAACATGTGTCGAATGCAGATACAATAGTGTTTATGAGGAAATGTATAGCATTGAATATTTATATTAGAAAGGAAGAAAGGTCTCAAACAATTTGCGCTTCTTCTCTAAGACACTATAAAAAATAAAGGCAAAATAAACTCAAATCAAGCCAAAGGAAAGAAACAAAAAAAGATAAGGAAAGAAAATGATGACATTGAAAAATAAAGCTAATAGGGAAAAATAATAAAACTGAAAGCCAGTTCTTTGGAAAGACCCACACCATTGATAACCTACTGACGAGACTGAGAAAGAAAAAAAAAAAAGGCAAACGCAAACTACCATAAAAACAAGCGGGGATATGACTATAAATATAGACACTATGAACAACATAAGAAAAACAGACCACCATGAACAACACTATGTTTACGCATTTATCAATACCTAGGTAAAAAGGAGCAACTTCTCAAAAACTAAAAAGTACTAAAACTCCAGGAAGAAAAAAAAAAATCTGAATAGTAACAAAACTATGGGAAAAAACTGGAATTGTAATCAAGAACCTTCTGAAAAAGAAGGTCCAAATAAAATACAACCAGGTCTAATGGTTCTGTTAACGAACTACACAATATACGTAAAGAAAAGCTAACACAAAATTTTTTAATCTCTTCTAGGAAATAAAAGAGGAGGGAACATGTGTCAATTTATCTTTTTTTTTTTGCCTTAAATCATGTGTGCTTGCCAGAGGGAGACAGAGACAGTGAGAGAGAAAGCGAGAAATCACCCCCCAGGGGGGATGGGCATGCCACAATCCCTTCTCCTCCATTCTCCTCTCGGGATCTTGGGCACGCACGCACACATGTCTGGCGTGACTTTTGAGCTACTGGGTCTGGGATTTGAACCAAGGCTGGCCACATTGGGGTCCAGCAATGTAACCACTACACCATTTGCTAGCCCTCCAATTTAGTTTATGAGGCCAGAATTACCCTTATACCAAAATAAGACAAAGAAAAACATAAAATAAGACAACTATAGATTTTGATCTGGGATAATAAAGCATACGTCATAAAAGGAAAAAAATGTTATCCTGAACTTCATCAAAATGCAAAGCTTAGGCTTGGGAACCAGCAGTTAGCGTAATGGCTATGTCGCTGGACTTCCACGTAGTCGACCGCAGTTCGTGTCCCGGACCCGGTGGCTTAAAACTCACGCCGGGCGTGTGTGCGTGCGTGCCCAAGATCCCGAGAGGAGAATGGAGGAGAAGGGATTGCGGTGTGACCATCCCCCCTGGGGAGTGATTTCTCGCTTTCTGTCTCTATGTCTCTCTCTCTGTCTGTCTGGCGAGCGCACGCGCCCTACAGTGAAAATCTCTCAAAAAAAAAAAAAATGCAAAACTTAGGCTCTTCCCAGGACACTGTACTGCACAGATACATTGCAAACTGGGGGGAAATATTTGGAAAATAAATATCCAACTTGCATTCATAGTAAAGAACTCCCAAAGCAGTAAGAAACTGCACAACCAATTTGAAAATTGAGCAAGAGACATAACACTTCATCAAAGAGGCTAGAGGATGACAACCATATGAAAAAGATGTTCAACATCATTAGCCGTTAAAAAATACAAATTGAGGGGGGACCAGCAGTTAGCGTAATGGCTATGTCACTGGATTCCCACATAGTTGACCGCAGTTCGCATCCCGGACCCAGTGGCTTAAAACTCACGCCGGGCGCGTGTGCATGCATGCCCAAGATCCCGAGAGGAGAATGGAGGAGAAGGGATTGCGGTGTGGCCATCCCCCCTGGGGGGTGATTTCTCGCTTTCTGTCTCTCTGTCTCTCTGTGTCTGGTTAGTGCACACACCCTATAGCGAAAAATCTCCTTTCTAGTCTGCCAACTCTTCCACGCTGCCACCTTCCCCAGAGCACAAACCTGACCTGCCTCTCCTTCGCTTAGTGACCTCGGATGGGCCTGCTGATC